TCCGCAGAAATTGAGTGATAATGCGTGCAGGTCCATGTTGGTTATATAACAAAATATCATTGCTTAGCAACAAACCTTTCAGATCACTCTTTGCCTGTTCACGCTTCTCAGAAAGACCCGATAATTCCTTGATGCGTTTCTCACGTTCTCCTTCCTCTGCTTTCAGTTTGTCGTAATCCGACTGAAGACGCTCCTTGACCACTTGTAATTCTTGCAACGATGCCTGCAAGTTTCCATTTATTCAGATCAGTTAACACCATAAGTACAAATTAATAACTATCAATAAGCTAATAATCAACAACTACATATTCATCAACTGCATCAAGCAATTTTATCAATGATATAGTTGAAATTGAAGAAGAACACATATCAAATATATGACAAACGAATAGCAGTTGACGGAAGACGTAAATGTTACTAAATGCAATCAACTGAATTACGCAAATGATGATTAATATTTGATCCTACCAGGCGATCTGTTTGGAGTGAAACCACAAACGTCAGATTTTTCAACTGGACTAAGGAAATTTTTTCAACGAATTTCAAAAAAAAAAAGGATCCAACATACAGTTAACTCTTCGATTCGTTTGCTCTTCTGTGCGATTTCATCACGAAGTGCTGAAACTTGTTTGGCGTGTTGTTCTTTGGCTTCACCGCTTATTTGATTCGCCTCTTTCTCACCGCCGCTTGCTGTCAGCTTATCNCATTCCTCGCTCTCACCTGTTCTTCAAGTTGCCTTTTGATTTTCTCTTGCTCAGCGATCGTCTCTTGCAATGTTTTATTTTTCACTTCGTTTTGTTGCAATTGCAAACGACACTCCGTCAACTCTTTCTCGGTTGTCTCCAAACGTTGCGTTACATCACCGGAACCCGATTCCAAATTTGATACTTTCTGCAAATTTTACAATTAATTTTATGCCATTTCAAAGACGTTTTCCTGTTGCAAAAGACATCAACGAAATCAATGTTCAATGCTTGTGTTGTTGTTGTTGCAAATCGCATCGAATCAACTAAATAATCGGAGAGAGATAAATGTGATCAAAGCGATACACTGCGCTAAACAAAATAACTCTGTGCAGACAAATCGCCAGGTGAACATTGAAGAATTGTGCCGAAGCAACAATGGAAAAAGAGCTGATTTGCAACAGCAGAACAAAACAAGTTTCTGCCTAAATTTTCACTAAAAAGCTTCTAGACACATCACTCTGGTTGGAGTGCATCAGGAAGCGACGAATTTTTTTAGAGGTATTTTCGCTTACCAAATCATATTCTACCCAAAAAGTGAAACAAAACGGATCAGTTATCTCTAGTCTATCAATTCTTCTCTTCCTATTACACTCCATACTTTCTTTCAGCTTCTGCTCATCAATTTCATGTTGCTTCAATTTCTGAAAGCAATTTCTAAAAGATATCCATCCATCCACATTGTTAAGATTGCAAATAATTTACAACAAACTCAGAGGCTGAATCAGAATTCATTCAGACATGTTGAATACTCGACAAAATCCTATTATACAAATGAGAATATGTGAAGAATTGTTGAACAGAATGAGAGAACACTTACAATTAGTATTAATTGTTACTATACCCAATAAAGCTTTCTGAGAGAAGTTTTCAGAGTATAGGAAAAATGAGTATTGAAAATCGACAATGCGAACCTGAAGTGTGGATTTGAAGTCGGCGCTGAGTTTTGAGATACAAATACGAGTATGTGCGAATAATTCCTCATCGAATGGCTTCTCGTTGATATTCTCGAAATTATACTGCAAAAGAACTGATTAACTGATTTTCTCTGAACCCTTAAGATACATGTCCAATGTGAAAATACAACAAGAATTGCCGTTTTTTGAATTTGTAATTACAATGAAAATTTCTGACTGCGATAGGCGAATGAATGAAGAAACAAAAATCAGCACAAGGAATCACAAACTTTTGCCGCGTTTGCGTAATTCGGACCAACTTCCGATAAGTCCCTCAACATACTCTGCATTGCGTCCGTGATTCGTTTCTTTTGTGTACTACAACTTTCTCGTAGCGTATCAAGCTCTGCGGTCAGCTCGACCAGTTTTACGTTCTTTTTCGAGAGATCATCCTAAATTCAAACACTTATTACTCATCCAGAACAGGACCGAATGGAAACACATTGTGGTCAGCAACGTTACAAACGTTTGGTAGCCTGGCCAATCCAGGTAATTACTTACCCAATAAATCACTGATACGCAACCAAGTCAGTAGTCACTTATCACCTCAGTATATCAGTTTCGTTTACAATGAAGCTCGTCCGATCGAATAAACAACAATACCATCAAACTCATCAATGTTACATGATGTATGAATGAATGAACGTGTAACTAACACTAAGTTGGTCATTTTCTCTCGATTTCTGCTCAGCTTCTTGTGTCTTCATGTCGTAATTCATCGCCAGCTCTTCGAGTGCTGTCAAAACTTCTTTCGATTCCTCTTTGGATGCTTCATTCTCACCTTGAATTCGCTGTACTTCCGCCTGAGCGTTCTCGTAATCGAGCTTGATCTGCTTGATCAATTCTTCCTTAAACCACAATCATTACCGTGTGCATCCCTGTTAATATTATACTTATTATTAGCACTGTTACTATTTATATCACTACTTTAATCATATCCACTCGTCTTATTTATCAGCTGTTCGAACACACTAAAACTCTGAAGTAATGTTCGCTACATTCCGCTAACACCTGTTGCTAGCCTTTACATGTTGCAATAGATGAACGAACATTCGCTGAAGTAAATGAATCAGGGAATAATCAACATCTACGAAATTCAAATCATAATATCAAAATGATGTGCACAACAATCGAACCTGCTCATTCATTTGCTGTTTCAGTTGCTCAGCCATTTGAGAATGCAACGTAATTTCATCATCTTTCTCATCCAACTGAAAAAAAACATATCGATTATTAAATCGATTCAAAAAATATACACGAAAAGAAAATTCGGTTATGTCGCAAATGTATCGCTCCCTCGAAATATGTATAACATACATAACCGTTATTTGTGTGAAGTGATGGAACAGATATTTCAGTGTGAGAAATATTCAAAAAATGATGATAAAATCTCGATGTTAAGGGGAAAATTGAAACTGAATAAAATCTGAACGATGAGTTGATCGAATAAACAATTGATAAACAAAGTACCTGCTGATAGAGTTGTGCTCGTTCTTCTTCATACTTCTTACGATCAGCATCCGTGATCGCCCCGATGGCTGACGTAAGAAGCGGCACTTGTGCAACTGAGATGGAACGATCCAATGAACCTAATACAGATTCACTTACTGATGGCGATAATGCTAGAAATCATTTTGTCATTACTTTTACTTCAACTTTCACAATGAGGAACTCTCGAATGTTCAAAATATAAATAAATGTTTATAGACGAACAATCAAATGATAAATAGATAAAAATCAAGAAGATAAAGATTCTCAAATAGATAAAGAAGATAAATTTATAGATAGAAATTGTAATCAAGAAGCGATAGAAAAAACAGAAAGGTGTAAAATTTTCAAAACTGAAATGAAAACTTACTCTCAGAACCAGGCGCAAGTTGAAGATTCAGTACGCCACCTTCTAATAAATTCACCCATTCTGATTCGGGAATCTTTTCACCCTTTCGCCAACGATTCAATTCCATCTCGGCGGCCATCAGCTGCTGTTTCAATCTCGCCACCTGAAATTATTCGCTGATGCATTCCATTAATGAGAGCATTCGATGAACGACTGTGAATGCTATTGAGATAAACACGAAGACAATGAATTAGCAGTTGTGCAACAATGATAACTGTTTTGTTTACTGGCAGAATTTATTGCCTTTTCCGGGAGTTGAAATCAATTCAGAAAGAAATGAATCTTCACGTTTAGATCACAACGAATTCAACTCAGCCATTCACTTCGTTTTTTACATTTCCCAATGCGATCCCACATTGAAGTATCACTCTTAGAATTGCTATGAAATAAGAACAAATCACAATATTAGACTCAAAACAAACTTTATCTTTTTCGCGTTCATAACGTCGTTTCCATTCTTCTGCCGTCAATTCTTCGTTCACAACGACAACGTTCTTGATCGTTTTCGCTCTTAAAAACAATCATATTGGAAATCGTTCACATGAACACTTATCACTTCGAAGATTTCTCGACGATTAAAACGCTTAGTGAGTTGCAATCCGATTATCTTGATACTGATAAAAAGCATTCCTATTAGAAGTGATTAAATGATTTAAATGCTTGACACAATACGAGAGCAAATTTGATTTGATGCAATTGTTGTCAACACTGTTACGATACGAGTTTCATATGCGATGAAGTGTAATACATCCCATCAAATTGCCTGATGAATCTGTCTCTAAACGGTAATCAAAAATCGCACTGTAACCAATAAAAACTTACCGCTGGCCAAACATAAGTGTACTCTTCGTTTCGGCTTCATTTGACGACGCAGGTGAGCAACAGATAACGATGGTTGTTCGTGAATTACCACCTAATGACTCTTGAAGAATTCGTGTCAATTTGCTGTCTCGATACGGCACATGACTTTTCTTAAACATTACACACAATTCAACTAACTATTCAGTGACAGTTATTTATTTATTTGATTAAATTATTCATTCATTTAACTAATTATTCCAAAATTTCATATAAGCCTCTTCAAGATCACTCCAGTCATCATAATTAACTGCTTCCTTCTTCCAAGCTTCACTTATTCTCCATTCATTATATTCACTTAGTCAATATTAGTACCATTATTGGAAATGAACTATTCAGTGAAATGCTATTTGAGAATCACAATGATTATCTATCCTCTTTCAGTTGTATTCATCAAATGATCTGCCTCATAAAACTGATCCTTGTTTTTCCATTGATTAGATTTCCAAATGCACACATTGAAATCTCTGTTAAACAGCAAAAAAATTCTCAATCATTCAATTTCTCCACAGAAATAACCAAACAACACTGAGTGCTGTTGAGATTCGATTCGGTAGAAAGAGTAGCAGAATACAGCTTAGCAGAATAGAACAGATGTTCTAACTGAATTCGTTTTAATTTTGCTGAAATGAATGAATCCTTTCAGTGAAAGAATACTTACAGTGCCTTCAGCAAGTGCAGCGATCACATTTCCAAGCGCTGATAATGATTTGTTGATGTTTTTCGCCTCCTCTAACACCTGCCCTTCGGCGCCTGTTTTACTAACCTGAAATATTAATTGCGAATCATTATCTTCATCATTGTTCTCATTGCATTCTATGAGACGATACTAAAAGAATCATTTTGAAACCTTCAACTTTCCGTACAGAGCACTACTGAACTGCTTTAAGCAAACTGATTCCCGAACTGTTTTGCTTGCAAAATACAGTACAAGTAAATAACACTACAATAAATTTTCGGTTAAGGAAGAGGAACTCAATAAAGCAGAAAAGTCATCGTCGTCTCAAACATAAAGTTTTCAAGTGTGAGGGTAAAATTTTAAACTTTTTATCAGATGCTTCAGAACAGAATACAATTTAGGTGAACGTGATATGATTACACTGATCAGAATTTCCACTTGTGAATGAGATTTATCAGCCCATTCATTTGCCACCTATCCATGCAGGACCTATTAAATGCAATAGAATTGAAGGAGTAATACTATTAATCAATCATTCAGAGAAAATCAATTTCGGACGAACCTTCTCGCTACCGGCCAAATCAACCAAATACAATTTTCCGGTAAGTTTCTTCTGAGTGGCCGTATTTTCTTGCTTCACTTGTATCAAGAACACACTATGACTCCTTGAGCTATGCTCATTCATATCTGCAAAAAAACCATTTCAATTCTCTTCACTTTCCAGAAAATGCATTCCTTCCAACACAAAAGCCCTATGGAAATGTGTGCCCCGACAGACGAATAATCAAAAATTTACTGGCTGGATCAAATTTTATAAATTCAAATCTATATTACCGAATGACTCAATGAAAGCAGTGGAAGGGAAATGTCATGAAAATATTGGTTATGAAGCGATTACTTGTAACAGCGACATGACGATTATTCTTTCCCTCATCGATTGTGGCCATCACCTCTTCGGGACTAGACACGAAACGTTCAGTGGCACCTTTCACATACGGTACGCGGTTTTTATCCTCATGAATTGCGAGATTCATTTTGGTTACTGAAATTCTCATCATTTGATTAAATTTTGAACTATGACACATGCTGTGAACAAACACATTTGTGAAACATTTACAAAAAATATTTCTTCACTTTCAATTCACTCAATTCTCATTTAATTAGAAACTGTGAATGAAATATGAGAAATTTGTAGTGAGGCAAATAAACGTTGAAAGAATGTTAGGAATACTTTGAGATTCACCAAATAACTAACCGTCAAGGAGATCTCTTATTTTCTCGTTATATATTTCAAAATAAGAAACTTTAATGTGAAATTCCAGATCAGCATCCATATTGTAAATATGATTAAAAATATCCTGTACCATACGTGGAATAATACCTTGTTTATCATTCTCACCGAATATACCCTAGAAATGATGTTCTCATGAAATCGCCTTCATTTTAACAGTACTTCAATGAGAATTTGAGAGGATAATCTCAAAAGAACGCAGTTTTCTCTTGATTTTGAGATGAATCAAAATGAATTCGGGAGAATGTTTCATCGAGTATGTTGATCATTCTAAAACAGTTCATGCGATGAAGAATCAGTTGACAACTGCGACTTCAGGCTACGTTTTCTGATTGAATAAAAGCAAAAATTCTTCAATGCACATACTTCCATCGTATGCGTTTTACCGGATGATGTTTGACCGTACGCAAAAACGGTACCGTTGTAACCGGATAAGACATCCTGGACAATATGGTATGCTGCTCCCATATATACATCTTCTTGTGAGGCGTTAGGTTTAAATACTTTATCATATACATATACTTTACCCTGAAATGCATTTTCATACAGTTTCACTGTAGATGGATTGAATGCAATGCTTTTTTTGATTCATACTATGCCTTCTGGCCAACACATTCCCAATCGTTTCGAATCACTTTCAAATCATTCGAAACATTCTGGCTGCCCCTAAAGTATCCCTCAAAGTATTTTTGATATTTTCACAAAAATATGAACCATCGACAAAAACGTCAGTTTATATGAGTATCTGTCCTCATGATGTGAATCATGAATCAGATAATATTTCGGTGCATGTTTGATATTCATAAATCTTCACCGTAGCTATCAATTACTAACTGCGTGATATATCATTATTTCATATCCTCTCCATAAATCAAGCTTTCACCGATGCATCGTCGATCACGTTGATGCACGCGATCAGCACCAACAGCTACTGACTGCTATTTTGCAGTCGCTTTTTTTCTCTTCAGGAAACTATTCCGACAATTTGCACAAAAAATCTTTTTTTTT